CGTATATTGCGGACGAGGATTCGCACAGGGACGCCGACGGACCCGCGTTATCGCAAGACGTCAACCAAATCTTTTCTTTTAGAGAAAAAGAGAACTAGTTACATGGATTCCATAGGTGAACTTGCGAAAGGATCACTGTCGACGTCTGCCCCGGCAGACAACAGCGAACTCATGACCCGACGTACGAATGCCGCACAGCCATCCATCGAGACAGAGTGGGCGTCCCAAAAAACATCTACACGGATTTTCATGAATATGTAGGCATCAAAAAGGGATTCCCTGCGATGCACGTCATGGCCAAAAATCACGAACGACGACCTCGTCCGTCGTTCACGGACCCGTCGTCTAGTTGTATATTGCGAACGAGGATTCGCGCAGGGACGCCGACGGAGCCGCGTCATCGCGAGAAGTCCAACAAGCGTTATCGTTTAGAAAAAAAAAGAACTCGTAACAAGGATTCTATAGCTGAACCTGCGAAAAGATCATTGTCGACGTTTGCCCTGGAAGACAGCAGCGAACTCGTGACCCGTCGTACGAATGCCGCACAACTGTCCATCGAGATAGAGTGGGCGTCCCAAAAAACTCCTGCACGGATTCGTGAATATGTAGGTATCAAAAAAAAGATTCCCTGCGATGCACGTCTCGGCCAAAAATCCCGAACGACGACCTTGTCCGCCGTTCACGGACCTGTCGTCCAGCCGTATATTGCGAACGGGGATTTGTGCAGGGACGCCGACGGACCCGTGTCATCAAGAAAAGTCCAACAAGCGTTATCGTTTAGAGAAAAATAGAACTAGTAACATGGATTCCATAGTTGAACATGCGAAAGGATCATTGTCGACGTCTGCCCCGGCAAACAGCAGCGAACTCGTGACCCGACGTACGAATGCCGCACAGCCGTCCATCGAGACAGAGTGAGCGTCCCAAAAAACTCCTGCACAGATTTTCATGAATATGTAGGCATCAAAAAGGGATTTCCTGAAATGCATGTCGCGGCCAAAAATCGCGAACGACGACCTTGTCCGCCGTTCAAGGACCCATCGTCCAGCCGTATATTGCGAACGAGGATTCATGCAGGGATGCCGACGGAGCCGCATCATCGCGTGAAGTCCAACAAGCGTTATTGTTTAGGAAAAAAAAAAGAGAACTCGGAACAATGATTCTATAGGTGAAGCTTGGAAAGGATCATTGTCGACGTCTGCCCCGGCATACAGCAGCGAACTCGTGACCCGACGTACGAATGCTGCACAGCCGTCCATCGAGACAGAGTGGCCGTCCCAAAAACATTTCGCACGGATTTTCGTGTATATGTAGCCATCAAAAAGGGATTTCTTGTGATGTACGTCGCAGCCAAAAATCGCGAACGACGATCTTCTTCGTCGTTCACGGACCCGTCGTCCTGCTGTATATTGCGAACAAGGATTCACGCAGGGACGCCGACGGAGCCGCGTCATCGCGAGAAGTCCAACAAGCGTTATCGTTTAGAAAAAAAAAAGAGAACTCGTAACAACGATTTTATAGCTGAACCTGCGAAAGGATCATTGTCGACGTCTGCCCCGGCAGACAGCGGCGAACTCGTGACCCGACGAAGGAATGCCGCACAGCCGTCCATCGAAACAGAGTGGACGTCCCAAAAAACTCCTGTATGGATTTTCGTGAATATGTAGGCATCAAAAAGGGATTTTCTGCGATGCACGTCGGGGCCAAAAATCACGAACGACGACGTTGTCCGCCGTTCACGGACCCGTCGTCCAACCGTATGTTGCGAATGAGGACTCGCGCAGGGATGCCGACAGACCCGCGTCATCGCAAGAAGTCCAACAAGCATTATCATTTAGAAAAAAAGAGAACTCGTAACAAGGCTTCTATGGGTGAACTTGCGAAAGGATCACTATCGACGTCTGCCCCGGCAAACAGCAGTGAACTCGTGACCCGACGTACTAATGCTGCACAACCGTCTATCTAGACAGAGTGGGCGTCCCAAAAAACTCCTGCACGGATTTTCGTGAATATGTAGGCATCAAAAAGGGATTTCCTGCGGTGCATGTCGCGGCCAAAAATCGCGAACGACGACCTTGCCCGCCGTTCACGGACCCATCGTCCAGCCGTATATTGCGAAAGAGGGTTCGCGCAAGGACGCCGACGGGGCCGCGTTATCGCGAGAAGTCCAACAAGCATTATCGTTTTGAAAAAAAAAGAACTAGTAACATGGATTCCATAGGTGAACCTGTGAAATGATCATTGTCGACGTCTGCCCTGGCAGACAGCAGCGAACTCGTGACCCGACGTACGAATGTTGCACAACCATCCATTTAGATAGAGTGGGCGTCCCAAAAAACTCCTGCACGGATTTTCGTGAATATGTAGGCATCAAAAAGGGATTTCCTGCGATGCATGTCGCGGCCAAAAATCGCGAACGACGACCTTGTCGCCGTTCACGGACCCATCGTCCAGACGTATATTGCGAAAGAAGATTCGCGCAGGGACGCTGACGGAGCCGTGTCATCGTTATAAGTCCAACAAGCGTTATCATTTAGAAAAAAAAAAAAAAAAAAAAAAAAGAGAACTAGTAACATAGATTCCATTGGTGAACCTGCAAAGGGATCATTGTCGACGTCTGCCCCGGCAGACAGCAGCGAACTCGTGACCCGACGTACGAATGCTGCACAGCCGTCCATCTAGACAGTGTGGGCGTCCCAAAAAACTCATGCACGGATTTTTTTGAATATGTAGGCATCAAAAAGGATTTCCTGCGATGCATGTCGCGGCCAAAAATCGCGAACGACGACCTTGTCCGCCGTTCACGGACCCATCGTCCAGCCGTATATTGTGAACGAGGATTTGCACAGGGACGCCGACGGAGCCGCGTCATGGCAAGAAGTCCAACAACCGTTATCGTTTAGAAAAAAAGAGAACTCGTTACGAGGATTCTATAGGTGAACCTGCAAAAGGATCATTGTCGACGTCTGCTGCGGCATACAGCAGCGAACTCGTGACCCGATGTACGAGTGCCGCACAGCCGTCCATCGAGATAAAGTGGGCGTCCCAAAAAACTACTGCATGGATTTTCGTGAATATGTAGGCATCGAAAAGGGATTTTCTGCGATGCACGTCGGGGCCAAAAATCGCGAACGACGACGTTGTCCGCCGTTCACGGACCCGTCGTCCAGCCGTACGTTGCGAATGAGGATTCGCGCAGGGATGCTGACGGACCCACGTCATTGCAAGAAGTCCAACAAGCATTATCGTTTAGAAAAAAAAAAAAAAAAACTCGTAACAAGGATTCTATGGGTGAACCTGCGAAATGATCACTGTCGACGTCTGCCCCGGCAGACAGCAACGAACTCGTAACCCGACGTACGAATGTTGCACAGCCGTCCATCGAGACAGAGTGGGCGTCCCAAAATATTCCTGCACGGATTTTCGTGAATATGTAGGCATCAAAAAGGGATTTCCTGCGATTCACGTCGTGGCCAAAAATCGCGAACGACGACCTTGTCCGCCAAAGGAGAAGTCCAACAAGCGTTATCGTTTAAAAAAAAAAGAGAACTCATAACAAGGATTCTATAGGTGAACCTGCGAAATGATCATTGTCGACGTCTGCCTCGGCAGACAGCAGCGAACTCGTGACGCGACATACGAATGCCGTACAGCCGTCCATCGAGACAGAGTGGGCGTCCCAAAAAACTCCTGCACGGATTTTCGTTAATATGTAGGCATCAAAAAGGGATTTTCTGCGATGCACGTCGAGGCCAAAAATCGCGAACGGCGACCTTGTCCGCCGTTCACGGACCCGTCGTCCAGCCGTATATTGCGAACGAGGATTCGCGCAGGGACGCTGACGGAGCCGCATCATCGCGAGAAGTGCAACAAGCGTTATCGTTTAGAAGAAAAGAGAACTAGTAACATAGATTCCATAGGTTAACCTGCGAAAAGATCATTGTCGACGTCTGCCCATGCAGACAGCAGCGAACTCGTGACCCGACGTACGAATGCCGCACTGCCGTCGATTGTGACAGAGTGGGCGTCCCAAAAAACTCCTGCACCGATTTTCGTGAATATGTAGGCATCAAAAAGGAATTTCCTGCGATGCACAACGGGGCCGATAATCGAGAACAACTACTTTGTCCGCCAAGCGAGAAGTCCAACAAGTGTTATCGTTTAGAAAAAAACAAAAGAGAACTCGTAACAAGGATTCTATAGGTGAACTTGCGAAAGGATCATTGTCGATGTCTGCCCCAGCATACAGCAGCGAACTCGTGACCCGACGTACGAGTGCCGCATAGCCGTCCATCGAGATAGAGTGGGTGTCCCAAAAAACTCCTGCACGGATTTTCGTGAATATGTAGGCATCAAAAAGGAATTTTCTGCGATGCACGTTGGGGCCAAAAATCGCGAACGACGACGTTATCCGCCGTTCACGGACTCGTCGTCCAGCCATATGTTGCGAATGAGGATTCGCGCAAGGATGCCGACGGACCCGCGTCATCGCAAGAAGTCCAACAAGCGTTATCGTTTAGAAAAAAAAAAATAGAGAACTCGTAACAAGGATTCTATATGTGAACCTGCGAAATGATCATTGTCGACGTCTGTCCTGGCAGACAGCAGCGAACTCGTGACCCGATGTACGAATGTCGCACAGCCGTCCATCGAGACAGAGTGGGCGTCCCAAAAAACTCCTGCACAGATTTTCGTGAATATGTAGACATCAAAAAGGAATTTTCTGCGCTGCATGTTGGGACTAAAAATCGCGAACGACGACCTTGTCCGCCGTTCACAGACTCGTCGTCCAACCGTATATTGCGAACGAGGATTCGTACAGAGACGCCGACTGAGTCGCGTCATCCCGAAAAATCCAACAAGTGTTATCGTTTAAAAAAAAAAAAAGAACTCGTAACAAAAATTCTATAGGTGAACGTTTTTAAGTACATTTGAGTGATGAGTGAAGATCAATGTTAAAGTTCTTGCCTTTAGATAGATGTTCAATTAATCCTAACATAGAGAAGCAATGAATGAGAATCATATATAGGTGAAAGATACCATCTAACTCATTACATGAAAACAGGCCATTTCAGAAAAATAGGGGACAGATCAAATCAACTAACAAGAAACATACAAGAATACAAAGATACACAAGCACAAAATTACAAGAGGAAATTGTAGTGTGAATCTTCTGCTCATCTCTACAGAAAAGAGAGTATCGAACAATCTCAGTGACATCGACATAGACCTCAGCCAAATGGTGACGGGACAGGTCCAACAGGTCCAGCAATGGCATCTGATCTTTTAATGCTTCCCATTCCACAGATGATGCAGCCAGGCGTCGACAAAGCAGAGAACTTTGCGCCACAGAGGTCACAGACATCATACCCAATGGTGGACAGGCGGCTGAGCGTAGCAGCGCAGAATTGGGAGGGGTCTTCCAGGGGGTCGATGGATTTGTTGGTCAAGCCCCTCTGAATGCACATGTCAATCAGGCTTCTCAGCTCGTCTTGCTTGCCTGGAGGTGCTTTGGAAAGGAGAAGTTCCAGCATCTGTTTGGCATAGCCATAGTTCTGCACATCCATGTTTCTTTTTATGGCAGTTCGGATGCAATTTATCCTGTGCTTGGCAAGAAGAGGCAATGAACCCAAATGCCGTGCCAATCTAGCCATCTCGTCTTTTGCGCTGAGTGCGCTGGGGCCTTGAACTTTTTGCAGCCGAATGATTTCCTGTTGTGTGAAGAAAAGGGTTCAGAATTTCGAGAAGTAGAGGCAGGCAGTATTGATGACAAAATATCCATATTTGAACAGCATGAATCCAAATATTCCTTTCAGTAATCATAAGTACTCAAGTAGGCAGGAAAGTAATGATATGAATATCCAAAACAACAGAGGTTATGTTTTCTTAAGGTTCCTCAAACAATCATATGCCAAGCATATACACTTCAATAAGTTCTTCCCTCTAAAATTAAAACTCAATTATAACTTGATCCTTAACTCTATTAGAATTCCAAATCTAGGATTACACACATCAATAAGTTCTTACCTCTAAAATTAAGAATAATTCTTAAATACTATTAGAGTGGTGTAAAAATACAAAACACAGTAACATTTACTCTAACCATTGGTGTGCAAATCATAAAAAGGAAATAAAAGAAGGGGAAGGACCCAGTGTCGTGTGAGGAAATGATGGGGAAATGTACTAAGACCTAGGCATTTCAAGGAAAGAAATCGATATTTACTTCTCAATAAAATACCTATAAGAATTTTAATGAAGAATCCAAGCTTTATTATGGTTTCTGGAACCTGTCTTACTTTCAATAAGAATACACTAGTTTTTTTAAATCTAGTCTGGAAGGCCCCAATGTTGTCCTGTCCATCTGTGTTTTGTAAGGAAGTAATAAGAAAAGTAACTTCTAAAAGGCAATAGTAGTTGGAGGCTAAGGGTGCTTCCTTGGCTGCAAAGTCAGTTTATGGTTTGTCATCGTTGAGAAATTGCAACAGACACACATATTAAATTGTTTCCACATGCAAAAGAAAGAATAAGAACAAACAAAATAAAGAATAAAATATTGAGCACCATCGGAAAATCTTAATTAATACCTGAAGAAGGGTAACTGCTATCTTATATTGGGCACAGATAGTGGCTTGCGCCTTGATATCAGCACCACGAGATTGATCCTTGGCCAAAGCTAGGAAGGCCTCATCAAAACAGGATAATGCATCTGAAAGTTGATTCTGCTCCAGGTGAGCAAGTCCAGTCTTGAAACAAACGGCAGCAACAGCCCCACGTGGAACCTATAACAAAAGGAAAGCATAGAGATGCAGACAGTAAATAATTTAAATAAAAGAAACAGTTCAATCAAAAGGATACCATCATTTCAATTACATGAAATTGAGAATTCAAGTATGTTATGATACAATATTATCTGAATACATGCAAATCCAGGACAAGTAACCTTAAATTGACAAACAAGTCAATTTGCATCCTTTATTTGATATATCCACATCAAAATTTTTAATTTTCCACACCAAATATTTTCTATAGCCTGGTTTTTCCAAAATTATTATTTATTAACCATACACAACTAAAATAACAACAAAAATAAGGAACCAGCAATGACATGAATGCCTCCTTCAGAAGATTATAAATACGTGATAGGCATAAGAAATGTATGAGGAACTTGCTACCAACTATCAAAATAACCCCCCCCCCCCCCCCCAACAGTTTATTTGCAGTTAATTTCAAAGGTGCGAATTACAATCCATAATGCCCTAAAGGAAAGTCAGTTATAAAAAGCAGGACCTAGAAAGACATGCAGTCTACATGATATGCTGTCCCCAATATATATATATATATATGTGTGTGTGTGTGTGTGTGTGTGCATACGTGGAAAACACAGATAATTTACCTGTCCAGGACGCACAGTTTTTGGGGGAGAAGCTGCATTAGGAGGTCTTCCAGATGTTTCAGACCCTGGACCTTCAAGTGAACTGAGGTCGAGGGGTTGATCAGAGCCTGGAAACTGTCCTGTGTGCATCTGTGGTTGAGATGGAACAGAGGCTTGAGGCAGGGGCTGTGGAGGAATACCACCATACAGAGTACCAGCAGATTCAGACACAGCCAGTGGTTGAGTTACTTGAGGAGGTACCCCACCATCGGGCAGACCAAACTCAACAGCAGGTGCACTGCCCCCCTGGTTAGCTGGGGTCTTGTTACTTTCAGCACTTTGAGCATTCTGTTCCATTCTAGAGAGAAAGGTCCCAGGTGGAGGAAGGGATGCTGCAACCTGAACGGATGATATTGTATTCTGGAAGAAGTCCTCTGGTATTGGCCTAGCACTAACTCCAAAGCTGGGTCCCTTTGAGGTAGGCTGGGGTGGTGGTTGAACCAATGTACTGGTTCCAAAAATATCAGCTGGAGCAGAAACTAGACCTGCTGCAGTTCCAGTGGTTGTGGTGGCTGGTTGAGGTAAAAGCAGGCCAAGATCTTGTGCTGAACCTGTTGATGACTTGGTCCTACTCATAGGCATACCTAATTGTTTAGTAGCTTCCTTAATTTTGTTGACATCCACTGTAGCAGATGTAACTGGTTTGTCTCGGATCCTGATTTGCAACTTTTTGGTTTTAGAAGTTCCTTCCTCATCACTGCTGCTATCATCTGCAGTAGAACCATATGGCAATTTCTTGAACTCTTCTTCAGCCTTTGCCTGCGCATCAACTGCACCAGAGACAGTAAATTGCTGGGAGAGAGTTTCTAGACCATTCAAGGAACCACTCTTTGATTCACTATCAGTGAGCCTAATGGGCTTGATCGATGTTGATGGAGCAAGAGATGTTGGAAGTCCATTAGTACCGACACCACCATCTGCTTTAAATGCTTTCACTAAACTATCTTCTCTCACTTCAACAACATTGCCTCTTCCTCTGATCAAACCAAGATAAACACCAATGTGATCAGTGACAATGGCCGGGATGGGGCCATCATCAGTTCTCATGTACGGCATCACCTCAGCAGCAAGTGCCCACTGAGGTATATCCTTCAAGTTTGTAGGTGTCTTGATCTCCCAGTTCCCACCACCCCATTCAGGCCCTTTAGGAACCATACTTTCAGCTGCAAAGTTCGCAAAAATGCCTTGTGTCCACCCAGTTGAACGGACTCTCAAAATCCTCTCGCAGTATCTCCTCAACTCTGAATCAACACCCTCTTCTTCTAACTTCTGGGCAAGACGCCTCATTGCACTAGGGTTTAGGTGACATATAAATAGATCAAGCATACTTTCATAGTCAGCTACAACTTCAAAAGTTTCTTTCGCACTGTCAAACTGACCATATCTGCAATGACATGTTACAGAAGTAAACATACACTGACAAGATCAAACTTAACAAGCAAAGTTAAACAGGCTAGAGAACAAATATGCTGATATAAAGAACAGCAGTGTACAGACAAAAGCAATGGTAGTATTCCAAGTAATTTATAAAAAGTATAGTATGTGACATTTGTTTGAGTGAATGTTTTCTTTATGGAACCAATTTGAACCCTGAGAAGATTACTAGGGATCATACAAATCAATGTAATGGTGGGATGCCTTCAACTCTAATTCCAGGCATATCAGTCTATACCCTTACCATATTCTTCCAGCAACACAACTCAATAAATTCATCAGAACAATGATAAAATTAACACAAGTGAGATCAACCATGAAGAGGGTGAACACTATACTGACGTACAAAACTAACAAATTATTAAAAAATGGTTCTAGAAGTTTTATAAGAAGGTAAAGAATAATAAGCTATAACCTTATACATGCATATCCCAACTGGCGGAATCGATGGAACAAATGGGATGTCGGGGGGCATCGAGGGTAATCTCTTGACCGCAAAAACTCATCTTTCAATGCAGACAAAGCAGTAGAAAAACGCAGTGCTTTGATTGCATATGTCCCCCTTGAGATCTGCATCAAACACGTCATAACATACATTACAAAGATGATTAGCTGATATCTGATATCTTGATACATAAAATGGTATTAGGAAATCACCTGAGTGAACTGAGGCCCTGATTGTGAAAGTGATACAGCAAGATCACCACAAACCGGAGAGCCTCTGGCAAGAATATCAAGTGATCTTGGAGTAATTCGCAGGCTATCAAATCTGCAGTCAGAAGATGCACTAAAATATCAGCAATCAAGCTTTCAAGTTTGGTTTGATTTGCTGGAGGTTGCTAAGCCAGAAATGAACCTTGATGTTATTTGGTATAGAACTTCTGACAAATCAAGCTTTTGCTCAAAATGTTGCTGCATTGTAGCAAACCCAATAAGAAGAGGTTCAAGCAACCCAACAAGACAGCTCTTGATCTCAAATTTTTTCTTTTGTTTATAATCTATATCAGTTGGGTTTACGAGCAGCAGACGATCATTCAGAGCTCCTAGCAGCACTGTAGTAAATACCGACAGCTCAGATAAAGCACAAAATAGGTCTCTAATCACAACAGTAAAAACTCATATAGTCATTTCAGGTCACAGAGTTTACCTGCATTTGGCATACTGATTGAGAGAATGGTCCTAACTTTTCCATCCCAACCAAGAATGTTGACAGAAGTAGAAGTAGAAAAGAGAAGTGCTGGCCCAAGCCACAGCAGAGATCTATAGTATTGAAAGGTTAAGGGCATGTGCTTAATGATACAAATCTACAAAAGATGCAACAGTTACAGATGGGATGGGAGTGGTGGAACCTCCCACATACGAACAGACACAGTAAAAAACAGGGGCAACAATATCAAGGATATAGTAGGAAGTCCTTTATCGAATTTTGCAGAAGTACTTGCTAATATGTCCAAGTCCGCTGTTACAATGAGCACACGTTGTGTGGTCAGTATACCAGCAACAAATCCCCTGAGAGTTTCTTGCCATTGTACCTAAAATAACATTTTCCAGAATATATTAAAAGCCTCCAACTCATTAAACTTCTTTGTGAAAAATTACTTCTATTGAGAATTTATGGAAGTAGCCAACAGCACCAAGCTTTCTCAAACAAAATTCTAGACAACACAATCTCTGGAGATCAGATATAGAAATGCATGAACCATCTAAATTCATAATCTATGCTATTAAAGAACCAACTCCTTACTTCAGTTTTTGGTTTTCATTATTCGCTTCCTTAACCTATGTATCTATAATATTGTTCACTTCTCCACAATAGAGAGACCGCCAACTTATTATCATTTGATTCATTTTTAAAAATAAAACCAGTATAGGGTTATAGGTTTTGATAATTAATTACCTGAAGCACATTCTCATTGACTTTCAGCTTAATGAATTTGAGCCCTTCAGCTTTAGTTGAGATAATGTGTCCATCTGTACTAGGGAGACGGTATCCTACAATGAGCTTTCCCAAGCCAATCTGGTCCCCATGAGAAGCAAACAACAGAGTTGACTCTACAAAATGGACATTCACAATTACAAATCCAGCTTACATTATTGAATTTGAATTAGCACAGGCATTAAAGCACCTAGAGGAGTTGAAAAGATACAATCAACTTCAGTCTCAAACATGAATTGCATGGGACCCTTTACAGAAGTTGCTTCTGTTTCCACAGACTCCCCTTTTAGAACTCTTTCATTGTTTTCTAGGGAATCTTGTGAGGCCACTCCAGGCAGCATATATAAGGTAAGTGAAGTTTTATCATCATCAAGAATAGCATACTGATTTTCATTTGGACCAACAAAGGCGGCGGCTGCACCTGAAAATTTAGCAGGGAAAGTTGAAGTAATAATTACTTTGTGTGCGCTTAAAGATGATGATAGCAATGATGGACAAAGACAGAACAAACCTTTGATAGTTGTAACTTTACTATTTTGAAATTGAGGGTCCGTGTTTTCCCAGTACAGAACTACCTCGTTTGCAGCACCTCCAAACTCATAGACTACAAGAAACAATCGCTGCTTCTTACCATAAATAATAGATTTTGGATGCATCTCTACATTCCCAGGTATCTGAAAAAATAGATTTGTTTATTTCTACATAGATTTTTCGCACAATGATCACAGTCAAGGAAGAGCTTTCAGGATATTACCGAATTGTACAGTTTTTTGTAGATACCCTCATGTCCAGAAGTAAGATTATAAGCCATCAGGTTTGTCCCCTCAGTGTAGAATGCCCTGACTGGATAATGAAGAACCCGGTTCTCTTTACTGAAGAAATTTAGATCCAGATGAAGAGGCTGCCAAATTTAAGTAATTTTAGTAACCATGGATCCCACAGTATTATCCATAAATGTTACGCAACAATGCAATCTGTCACAACCTGGCAAACTGGAAAGTGTCTTAGGTGATTTTTAGCATCCAGTACGGTAATTAGAGGTAATCGAGCTATGGGCGCACTCCTTGCATGGCCTTCCATGAAATGCTACAACCACCATGAAGTCATAAAGAATAATCATAGAGATAATACGTAAAGATTCAAAACTCATTTAATGGCCTGACCAATCAGCAAAATCATATACTAATTTATAGAAACAACATAAATTGACAAGAAACACCACCACCAAGATAATCTCATTAATAACAACATTTGATTGATCCCAATAGGCACAAGAGACACCCCCCATTTGTGAGGGAACAGATAAGTTCCTAGTTTAATGGTGAGCAATTACTTTTTAGGTAAAGATTTTCACTGTAAAATTAACTTACACTGTAAAGAAAAGCTTTCCTTGCAATATCTGAGATTGTGAGTTGACTTTGGCTGCAAAAGTAAGACAAAAAAATCAATACAGCATGATCTTAATTTTTTAATACGTTATATTATAAAGGATGAAAACAATGCTTGAATGTGGATTGTGGAAAACATTATACATTTTTAAAAGTGTCTATTACAGAAATTAACCAAATACGATTACTGGATTAAAAGCAAGCGATAAAACAGGACCAAAGGAGCAAGGAAGCCAGAGAAGAGCTCATAAATCAACTTCCAAACTCACCCTTTCATGTGATGCTCTTGCAGTTGAGCTTGCAGTTGGTGATCAGCTAATATGCCAGATGAACCAAGGGCCGCAAGTTTTTCCTTCAAAACAGATGCTGCTCGAACCATAATGAAAACGAGTAGACCGTATCACATATACTACCCAACTGAAAGTAATAAAAGCGTCTAACTGTTGAAGTGATTCACTAAGGTTGCATAATTCTATAGAAATGTAAATATGAATCAATGTACAGCTAGAGATATTAACACAATTCGAATTCATGGTGCTCAATGCAAAGTGAAGAGACCATCCAGTTTAAAAGCCAGAGTACCGACCTTGGACACAGTTAGAAATTAACAGTTTAATACCTCAAAGTTGATATACTTTTCTTAAAGATGTATCAGAACAATATTTGCTATAGGTGCTACATTCACATGAAGAAACTTAAAAACAAAACTAATAACAAATATAAAGATGCCCTATCTTCTATAAAGTGTCAATCAACCAGTATAAGTTTATAACTAGCCATCACCTGATGATCCCCTTGCACTCTGCAGAACTGCAAAAAGTTGTTTCCGCCCCTCTCTAGTGTATGCAGCTCTGTTCTTCCGGTTGTCACCACCACTAATGCTCTACAAAAACCATATAAATCTCTTTTATCAATACAATGTACGAAACACTATGATCTTCCATAGAGCATTATAAGGATTCTTACAGCAAAAAGCAATGCTGCTAGATTCAACTTTGGGTGCACATCCAAAGCTCTTATTCGTGGAAGAGGATAAACAGTTTCTCCGCCTTGCTGAGACAGAATGCGAGGGATGTCGATAGATTCAATAGCTGCAAAAAATAAGATACAACAGAACCAATGAAAAAACTATGCATGTCCTTTTGTAAGGGGTGAAGAGGAAGGAGATAACAATAAGCTATCTGAATTTAGCTGAGAGATGCAGCAGCAGATGAGCTTCTTCTTCTTTTCAGTTTTTTTTTTTTTTTTTTTTTTTTTGGTATACAACCATCAAACACCATGGAGTCAACTACTTACCCATTGATTATCAATGGTGTCAGTAGGTGGTTAGCGCAGAGAGACGAACCATTTTCCTTTATCACTTATCCCTTATCATAACATATGACCAAAATCATAATTAAATATCCATTTCAAGGCGTACTTGTAAAACTGTAGTTAACTATCCAGATTCTATATCACATGAAACTACTTGCCTAAACAAAAATTCTCCCAGGAACTAAATACAATTGAGGAGATTAGTAGTACATTTATCCAGGAATTAGAGTACAGCTACGTCTTTATCTATATGCCCCACCATTATTATTCTTTTGGATTATGACACTGAGATGACTAAAAGTCAAGGCCAAAATGGAATTTAAAGGTTTTCAAATGACAAGAAAATTGGAACTTTCAGAAGATATGCCTTCCTTTTCTACCCTTATAGATTTAAGCATCTCCACAAGTCAAATATGGATCTTGAAAATTTTCTTGTAAGAAGGATGCAAAAATAGCATAACACTTACCGAATTAATTAGAAACAGATAATCCATCATGTAATCAAGTGCTCTTGAAGTACTTTATAGTCAACTAACCAGCAGGTTCAAAAAATTTGCTAGGTATTCACATTTACTCCTCCAGACTTGCATATCTTTTGATCAAGCAATAAAATCTCTGGTGAAAGTGTAGACAACATCAGCATATGCCAATTGAAAAAATTATAAACAAAGTCCATAGATGAAAACAATATTTGAGAGGACATGCCAAAGCATAAATAAGCTTGAGGCCAGAGTTACGAAACACTATGATCTTCCATAGAGCATTATAAGGATTCTTACAGCAAAAAGCAATGCTGCTAGATTCAACTTTGGGTGCACATCCAAAGCTCTTATTCGTGGAAGAGGATAAACAGTTTCTCCGCCTTGCTGAGACAGAATGCGAGGGATGTCGATAGATTCAATAGCTGCAAAAAATAAGATACAACAGAACCAATGAAAAATATGCATGTCCTTTTGTAAGGGGTGAAGAGGAAGGAGATAACAATAAGCTATCTGAATTTAGCTGAGAGATGCAGCAGCAGATGAGCTTCTTCTTCTTTTCAGTTTTTTTTTTTTTTTTTTTTTTTTTTGGTATACAACCATCAAACACCATGGAGTCAACTACTTACCCATTGATTATCAATGGTGTCAGTAGGTGGTTAGCGCAGAGAGACGAACCATTTTCCTTTATCACTTATCCCTTATCATAACATATGACCAAAATCATAATTAAATATCCATTTCAAGGCGTACTTGTAAAACTGTAGTTAACTATCCAGATTCTATATCACAATGAAACTACTTGCCTAAACAAAAATTCTCCCAGGAACTAAATACAAAAAGCTTGAGGAGATTAGTAGTACATTTATCCAGGAATTAGAGTACAGCTACGGGCTCTTTATCTATATGCCCCACCATTATTATTCTTTTGGATTATGACACTGAGATGATGAGAAGAGGAAACTAAAAGTCAAGGCCAAAATGGAATAAAAAGATTAAAGGTTTTCAAATGACAAGAAAATTGGAACTTTCAGAAGATATGCCTTCCTTTTCTACCCTTATAGATTTAAGCATCTCCACAAGTCAAATTCATGCCAACAAGATCTTGAAAATTTTCTTGGCAGAAGGAAGGAGGTGCAAGAAGGATGCAAGAAATAGCATAACACTTACCGAACCCTTAAAAGACACGTTAGAAACAGATAATCATGAAAGTAGATTCATCAGAACAATGTAATAGACAAGTGCTCTTGAAAGTACGGAACTTTATAGAGAGCTCAACTAACCAGCAGGTTCAAAAAAATTTGCTTGTGTTGGAGGTCTGTTTGGATTCACATTTACTCGAGTTCTCCAGACTTGCATGCTTCCATCTTTTGACAAAGTGACAAGCAATTGCAACGTTGGAATCCAAGAAACAGATGTGATTGGTTGTGAGCCCACCTGGGTACTAGAAAGTGTACGACAACATCAGCATATGCCATTTATTGAATAAAAATTATAAACATTGAAGTCCATATTATTTAGATGAAAACAAATATTTTGAGAGGAGATGAATATCATGCATTGACAAAGGAGTGAGAATGTCATAAATAAGCTTGAGGCCATGAGTATGCTTATTCCATTCCATATCTACTTAAGCTCGATGAAAAGGCTGTTCTACGATCTATCGCAACTTGCCGGTGGTCTCAACTTGGCAGTACGCACAAATTAATACAAGCACAGGGAAATAGCACAATATACAAAACAGTAAGAGGATAGGTGATACTAAACAAAGAATAAAAGAGTCCAAATAAAAGAAAGAGGAGTCTAAGCCCAAAAGGTGAATTGCAGGATAGGAAACTAAAAGAAACCAAGAATGAAAAAGTCATCTACACCTGAAATAAGTTACCGATCAGTCTTGGAATAATGATGTAGTAGCCCAATATAATATTTAAAAAATTAAAATAAAATAACAATTTGATTGCACCCCTTGGCATATGGGTAACTTACATTCCAATCATAAATGGTCTTTCAGTTGATACATCCCATGCCAAAAGTGTGCCTCGTCTATCACCGACAAATATCCATTCCAATGTTGAATGAAATGCAAATGCTCCAGCACCCTGTAACCTAATGGTGTTATCAACTGCAAAAGGCATCAAATAATAAGTACTGAATCGGAAAGGAAATCAAGATTCGTGAGGCTTAATAATCATGTGTAGTGCTGCAAAGGAGATTGTTGATAAGTGCTGATCAACTATTACGCTGTAGGGTGTACTGAACAGCATAGGTGTGGATATTGTATGCTCGAATGAGACCATCTTGATATGCCACATACTGAACAGCAAGAGAACGAATAATTAATCAGCTTCATAACTTCTGGGGATGCATATCATATTTCAAGATGTTTCCGGTCAAAATAAAAATTCTTACCAACGAAGGAAGTCGGGGATGGCAAGCAAGATTGACTATAGGTTTCTTCAGGTCAGTCTTTATTTTTGTAGGCGCTTTCCCTCCCTCCACAGTCCCAACAACTTGACAGAGGAAATAACTACCGATTCAGAGAAGTGTAACAAATCTAGCTTGAAAGTAGGACAGATATCTCAATAGCAGCAGTAGTGTAATCACAGTCGGTGGCAACTTATGATAAAAAAAAGGGTGCCTTCTGTTTCTTGAGAAAATTATAGCTAGTGACCATCAAATCTTGGAACTCTAGCATATTCATACAAAAGTACAACAAGATACTGACGCAGAACAAACCAGGTTCTTCTAACTAATGCATGAACTTTCAAAAGCTTGGAAATAATGTTTGCTTCTTTACATTAGCCCGTGCATGATTATCCAGAATCTCCTCATCAGGGACAGCCAAATTAGAGCATTTGGGCCAAGAAATGTTTGAATTCAAAACTTCAAACAAATAAAGGATAAAAAAATTTTGTTCTTCAGGTTTTGTAAACCAATAATGACAGGAAATGTAATACTCAAGAAGTCAGAAATGGTGGAGAACTTGTTATATACTATGGACTTCCTTATTTTGCAGAGCAGGGACACGTAAATTTGGTTTTCCCTGTCCCATTCATTTCTTCCCTCCATATCCCACCTCAGTGACCTTACCATCTCAGTCTGGACTCTACATTATTTGCATACGAACAGATAATCACCCGAATCAAGAAACACAATTGCATAAAGATAACATGCCAAATAGGACCTTACCTGTTACACTCATTTTTTTATGAAAACCAAAAAACACAACAGGCAGAAGCTTTGTCAAGGCAAGATGGACTTCAGTGTCAATAGATATCTGTTCTGATCTCTTTTCAGGCGAATGCAATACACATGTTTGTTCGCTATCAAAGTCACAGGATCGAATTGTACAATCCTGCAAATAAACAAATTGCGTGTACCTCAAGTATATATTCATCATGTTCCTGGATGGAATATTATTAATGGAAAAACAGAATCTGATAAAAATCTATACAGCCGGGAGAAGTCCCACAAAATACACTGCATTAAAGATTAGAATATCATTCCAAAGCTCTATTAACCATAACTTAAACCATTTTACCACAGACATGAATCAAAATGTAAATTAGCAGTTACAAATTTGAAGCAAACAAATCAAAGATATGTATTCTTCTTAGTTCAATTCTGCTTTACTTTGTATTTGAGAACAAATTAATAAAAGCAAAAGACAGTTCACTGACCTCAAGTATAGCTATCACTGAATGGCCAGCCGTGGGGCTATAAGCCATGCGAACAACGGGTGAGCCTATGTCCACAGTCGCGATCTTACATCCAGTGTATGCATCAAACTCTGTAACCACATAAAAACAAGCGTAATTTTCTAGCTCTTTGTTATTCACCATCTACGAAATGAGCAAGGAAGGCAGCTTACCGATGATATAAGTACCGACGGCGGCGGAGACGAGGGCCTGAGTCGGATGAAACGCCGCAGCGTGAGGTTGTAAAGGCCTAGAGCTCCGACCCGCGTGGCGAAGATCCAAGTGCTGCACCGTCGCCCACTCCATTTCCAAATGAATTCAATCACTGCATCTACAGATCGTCAGGAAAACACTTGAATGAACGCTCGAAGATCTCAAATCAGGGGTAAAGAAAGAACCCAATCGAGGCTGCAGTCTTGGGCCTTCAGCAGATCAACAACTAATCGAATCTAGACTCCCGATGAACTACAGTCGACAACGACAATTTGCCAAGATTAAGGCTTCCACCCATCAACCGCCGTCGTTCGTTCTTGGCAAATTCTTCCAAGTTCCGACGGACCGGCTATTTTGTAAAATATAAAATAAATTAAAATAGGAAATTATTTTATAACTTCAAAAGACGAGAATATCCTTCACCACAGTAGACCCAAAATACTGTAAGCAAGATATTGGGCCTCATTTGTTGGGCTTTTTCTCGCCAACCCAAAAAAGTAGAATGGGCTTTGTTGTAAGCCTATTTTACATAGCCATCATCTCCGTGTATGAAACAGGGCTTTGTTCCTTTTGTAACTTATATTGTTTAGTTATACTATTTATTTATACAATATTAAATCAATTTTTTAATACATATAATTTTAGGTATTTTTATTGTAAAGTATGTGGAATCATAAAAATATTATAGGTTAGGATGTTTTATGCGTTTTTTTTAATTTTGTTATTAATAGGTGTATATTTTATAAAAATTAGTGTATTTGGTTTAAATCAATTTTTCATTTCAAATTAAACTCAAACAAATTATATGAATATTTATCGGTTGTGAGTTTCAACCATGTGTAGCAGGTGATCTACGGCGTGGAAGTTTGAACCCTCACCACCAGGCCTATTAATTATACTTTAAATGATATTTAGTAGTCAAGATACTTTCACATGCTATTTAACTTATTGATATTTTTAAATTTATGGTAACAAAAGTAAGTAAATAAATACATACGAAATAAATAGAATCCGGGTCGGTTGCAATACCTCCAATCATTCCCAACTACCAATTATTAAGGCCAGGCCCAACCAATAAATCAAAGCACATATGTATTGAAAATAAATAAATAAATAAATATATATATATATATATATTACATAGTCGTATAATGATAGTATGATATATTCTCTCCAATCATTTGTATTGAAATGACAATCACCATCTCCATTTCTTCTTCACTACCTGTCCATTTTCCTATCACTAAACTCTATAATATGAAGCTGTCATTTTGTTTGTTAACGGGCTCTGTCACTTTGATTACGACATTAAATTTATATCTACAATAAAAATATATATAAATAAATTGTATTCATACTAAAACCGTATTCTTCTAACATTACAATTCTATTATTTTTTTTTTTTTTTTTTTGAGTAAATTTAAGTACCCAAATTACAAGTCTATGTATAAATACAAAATCAACGCCCACACAATCACCCGTCTATTGCCTTTCTGTCTATCTGTGACTGTTATATATTCTTTCAGTTTTTTTAAAATAAACTTTTATTAAAGCAAGTATTTGAACATATATTTTGACAATAGATAAAATAATAATTAAGAATATGTTTATCTCGATTTGAATTGAAAAGAAATTTATTTATTTATTTATAAAAATATCATATTAAATATTTGTTTTATCTTTTTAATTTACAAAGTAGAACCCAAACCATTTCTATAAGACTTTCATTTTTATTTTGATTTTGAATAATAATATTTTAAATTAAAATAATAATTTAATGTATAATATGTATTCATGTGATAGTTTAAATATAAAATTTAATTTTAATGTAATATAATAAATAAAATTGAATGTTTAACTTGATATTTTTGGATAAAAAATAATAATAATAAAATTAAGTATAATAAAATTAAGTGAAAATTTGTATAAATAAACATATCCAATAATTTTTTAAAAATAAATTTTTTAAAAAAAAATATATAAAAATGCTTTTGGTGCTAATGATAAGTGGGCACGGTGCAATAGACCCTTCTCGAATCCATAAATTACTGATAATAAATAAATTAATTAATTAATATTGAAAAGTTTTTTTGAAAATTAAAAAGCATTCGAACCCACCATTTTAATGTTCACTTGTCCCCAATTATGCCTCGTGAAAACGACGGTCGATGTCTCTTTGAATGTAATGAAAACGACATCGCATCGATTCTCTTTTCCTTCTTTTCTCATTGGAGAAATTTTTTATTTAGAAATAATATTGAATAAATAAATAAATAAAGATCGCGAAAACGACTCCTTTTCTTAGACTCAAACAATTAGTGTGTTTGTTTGGGATTTGGATTTTGAGTTGAGATTTGAATAGTTGTATAATGTGATATAAATAGGTATTCATGTAATATTTTGAATGTAAAATTGATTTTTAGTATAATATAAAAAATAAAAAATAGGTATTTGATTTGATTTTTTTTGGGAAAAAATGAGATGAATAGTGTATTTAAAATCCAATCCCCAAACAAACACACCCTAAGAAGATCTTTAGCTATTATTATAGTGAATGTTAATAGAAATTAGCCAAAAAAAATTTAAAAATACAATAATATAAAATAAAATAAAAGGAAGGGTAAAAATACGTATATATGTATTGTATTGCTATTCATCCCCAAACAAACGCACCCTTCGTAGAAAATAAAAGTCAATGTAACTTTGGATACTAATTGGGGGTTTTATCATAGTTGTACGTTAGCTACAAATTGGTGTACCTTAGGACACCTGACATGAGAATTCATCCTTTTTATTTTTTTATTTTTATTTTTATTTTTATTTTTTACGTGATCATACTTGTTTGTGGTCATGCTTACCCTGATAAGCAACGTCGGCGGCGGTGTATATTTATCTTTTCGATCTTAGTTTTATTTTAGGAAAAAATATATTCCATATTTATAATTAATTACTTATATTTCATTTTAGTTTTATTTTTATTTAAAATATTATATCAAAATATTATTGTAATTAAATTTTAAATCAAAACCTCGATTTTAAATAAGGACCAAACTCATATTTATATACAAATGTTTAATGTTAACTATAATTTTTTCAGTTGTATTTTCAATTTATTCATATTTGTTATCATTGTATTGATATTATTTTAAGGGAGACTTGGACTAAAATCCCTGTCAGTGTATTTTGCTTGCAATTCAGTCCCCATTGTAAATTAATTGATTTGCAGTCCCTACTTTATTGATTAGATATGTTATAACTTCCTTCTTGTATTTTCTACTCAATTACAATTGTATATGCAACATGTACTTACGATTGATTAATAAATACTCCCAATTTTATAATATATACATACATTACCTCCCGCTCTACCCCCAGTATACGATTAGATAATTCCATTTAAATACTGCGTACTTTATTTTGTGATTTTTTTTTAAAAAAAAAATCACAGAAAATATGCACGATTTAAAAACTGAAACATTCCCTAACTCCCCTCACTCTCCGTTCAAGCCCTAGTTCTTCGAGAAGGAAATCGTCCCTCGCGAACTCGACGATCAGCAGTAAGACATTTTGTTCAGCGAAATGGTGAGAAAAACCGCGAATCCGCCGCGATCCCCCACGAGGAGTTCAAAAAAGTAAGTGTCTGGTCGAAACCCTTTTCGTTTTATGATTTTGTTGACAATCGAATTTTATATCGTAGTTTATTCGATTGTTTGGGGTAGAAGCCTTGGTCCCGTGTTTGTATACCTCGGTTCAGTGATGAGGAGCCCTGGGTGTTCGGTGTTGTGTTTGTTCAACGGGTGGTTTGAAATTGTTCGAATTTTTGGCCAGGAAACCCGGTTCGGCCGATTTTGGGTGATTTTATCTGTTTTATCTTTGATTTTGTTAATTTTGGAGATGTATATTTTGTTTAGTTACTCGAAGTTGCATATTTTAAGTTTTTTGGTGGATTGTTCGGTAATTAGTCATATTTGTGGGTTGATAAATGCGATAATATTAGGCACCAGGAGTTTCATTTGTTTGGTCTAATTTGCCAATTAATATACCTGAACGGCACTGTTGTATACTCGGAATGCGTTTTTACTCATGCTAAATTGTGAAAAACTTTTAACTAAATTAGAGATTTGGATAACGTGGACTTATGGTTTTTACTTACAGGCCAGGCAAGGAGCACAAATCGGTGATCAGCCGATTTGCATTACCTTTTTTTCATAATGAGCTGGGCAAACTGAAGCAACACATGACAGACGAACACATCGCAGCTATAAACATGACACCATTCGGGCATTTTCTGGATTGCCCGAAAATGAAGTTTCCATGGCACCGACTTGTTGCCCTCGTCAATAGCTTTAGTTCGGAATCTATGTCCTTCAAGATTGGAAGTGACATTGAGCTTCCGTTTGACGTTGAAGAATATTCTGTAGTCTTAGGATTACATGCGAAAGGAGTCTACGTGACCGAAAACACATCGGTCGAAAGCGAATGGTTTGTTCGAATTTTTGGGAGCAAGCCACGTTCTGTAACCCGCGGCCAGGTGTTGCAGAAGCTACGTGAGGCTCTGTTGCAGGGGCTGGAGCCTCTTTCTGTTGCGGATGTTGCTCGTCTTTTTATTTTGCTTGTTTTTGCAAATATTTTATTTTGTTCTGCGAATTATTCTGTACCCCTTTTTTTTGTTACCGTATGTGGAAGACCTGAGTGCGATTGGTGACTACGCGTGGGGACCCGCGAGTCACCGTTATCTGTTGAAGTCTATAAACGACTTCAAGTCTGGGAAAAAATATTTGACAGGCTGCACCGCGGGTTTGTTGGTAAGCAATGTAATATCGGATTTGTTAATTTTTTCTACTTATTTTGGTATATTGGACAATATGTATTATTGTTGGCAGTAATGTCTATTACAATATGTGCAGGCTTGGTTCAATGAGAGGGTCCCAACTCTGGACAAGGCACGGTGCCTTCTGAAGGTACCGCGTCTCTTTCGGTGGCTGAATAGCCTCGGTCCAATGTCCAGGGTTCATGCAGTTGGTGAATTGACTTCCCTAAAGCGGTCAGATGTTCAGGAATTCTATCGGATAGGCACGGAAGAAAAGTTCGTTCGTGCAATTTGCCATGCTTCAGAGGTAAATGCATTATTCAATGTTGCTACCGTTGTAAATGGATAAAATAATTTCTTATATGACATTATTAACATATGTTGCAGGAAGCAGCGCAGCAAATTGCGACATTGAAGGTGGAGCTGCGGAAGAAAGACACTGCAATTGCCAGACTTGCTCATAAATTACAAAGATCTAGAGCCGGTGTTGTCGATGACGACAGTGAAGGTGAGGGTGAGGACGATAGCGATGGCGAGGA